CCCTTTGTAGCAAATCWCTTGCCATCTGGAGTTTTCCAGCGCCTTGTTTCTTGGATTTCAGGCACTGGGAAAATGGACATTTTTTTACTTTGTTTTCCAAGGTATTTCTGCGATGTTCTTGTGGAGTTTTTTGTATGGTGATGTGGTTGGGGTTTTTTATGGCCAGTGATGAAATTTCAGGAGTTTGTTTCTTTATAGTTTCCTTTCCTCGGTTCTTGAGAAACTTGAATGTGTATGATCCTAGAGAAGTGTTTTTCCCATRGGAAGTACTCAAGGGGCACATTTCTGAGAGGCAGAAGTGCTTGTCTGTCATAGAYTCACACCAGTCTGGAGGAGAGGGTCAGCTCACAGCCATGGCACCTCCATCTGCAGCTCCTGGCTGGATCAGGTCATGCCCAGCCATCCTTTCAATTTGTGATGGGCTAAAGGAACCTTGATTCCTGACATTATTAACAAAGCTGAGCTCCAGGTGCCTGTTGGGAACTCTGCTACACAAAACCATTTTAAAGTGGCAGAAAGGAGTAACTGGTTGTGTGTTTATTTCCAGTATGAAGTGAAAGCCCCTGTTCCTTCAGCATGCTTCAGGAATATCTGCAAGCAAATGGCAAAGATGCATGAAGCTATATATGATCTCCTTCCTGAGGAGCAAACTCAGGTGAATGTTATTTTTGAGCTTCATCTCACAGCTCACTTGCACATGCACRTGGACTTGGGAACAAGAGAGGCTTTATCTGGGGAGAGGGGAGTTCTTTTTTGAGTCCTGCTGAAACCCACACRTTAAAGGGCTTGGCAGCAGTCACACAGACAGCTTGGACTGAGCTGAAGGAAGTGTTTCAGTGTGTAGGGAGAACGAGGAGACACTGAAAGAGCGGATTTCAGGATTTTGAACTGCCTTTTAGTGTCTAGGGATGGCAGTCCAGRAATTAGTGCTGAAATGYTGTGCAAATGGCAACACTTTGGGTTTGAGTACAGCTCTCTCAGAGAATTATTCTGTAACCCTGCTCAAAATCAGTGGCTTCCAGAGGCCCCTAAATGTATTAGGCACCCAAATTGTACCAGATGTGCTTTTGCAGGATTTTGCTGCAGTCATTCCTGCTGCAGAGTTGCAGATCTTAAGGACAGGAAGGACTGATCCAGTSACTGAATACAAGTTGTCATTTCTCWTTTGCATTAAATGATCCCTTCTAGCACAGGAAAGAGATTGATTATCTTCYAGCCTTAAAAGGAGTTGTTAGATGCTTCAGAGCCTCAGAACTGAGAAGAAAAGTTCTTGGTCCAAAGATTATATGCTAAGTGCCACAGATAACGAGTAGGTGAAGGTGTCCAGTGTGTTACAAACTGTGTGTGGCCAGAAAGGTGAGGCCAAAGCACTGGCAGAAGGATGAATCACACGAATTGCAAAAACAAAAGCGAAAGTTAGTGGTGGAGGGTGTTGGCAGTGTTTCCTCTGCCAGGGCAGTGATGTGAGCACAGGCACAGTTCCTTACTCTGCTGCTRTGCTTTCTTCTAGATGTTGTTTTTACGAATTAACGCAAGCTACAAACTCCACCTGAAGAGGCAGCTGGCCCACCTGAATGTGGTCAATGATGGAGGACCTCTGAACGGGTGAGCTGGGGCTCTTCTTTCACTGTTTAAATAAGCAGGCATTGTCTTCTGCAGAATCACAGCTCTGTGTTTTAGTGTGTGCCATTTGGAGCTTTCTCACAGTAAAGGACATGACCTGGGCCATTCCACAGTCCACTTGGTAAGAAACTGGGAGCTGGACATTGTCCAGCTGGAAACCTGCTGTAGGTATCCTCAGCTCATGGATTGTTTTTTCTCCCTTTGTGTGAAAGCAGCAGCCACAGTTTAATTAGCAGGAATTGCGTGATTCCTGAAGCAGTTTTGAAATGTGGATGGTGACTCATGATGCTGGCAGAGTAAAAATAGGAGAAAGCAGCATTTCATCTGTGCAGGGGGCAGCACTGCAGGAATGGTTTTTAATTTGAAACAGCTCACAGAGCTTTTCCCTTTCCCTGCCACAGYCCAACACTCCATCCTCAAACAGGTCAGTGGTACCTCTTCTGACAGAGGGTTCCTGGCTGTGCCTGCTGTCCCCATCTCCCAGGAAAAGCCTCTTGCAAGCTGAATCCTGTTGTCAATTGGACTGTACCCTAAAMCAGTGGGGTTTTTAGTMATTCTTAATGCASTGTGATGTGATGTTTGCCGTGTAGYAAAGGTGAAACTCAGTGGGCCTACCCACATGCAAGGAAAGGTTGTCTTAGCTTGCAGAAGTTAGTTGATAATGTTTCAAATGTCACTGGAGTGAAAGTTTGGTTCCTGTCCAGTTTATTGTTGCTTCTCCTGTTTATTCCTCTTTGTGCAACAGTTTATCAGGACTGGTTCTGTACTCGTGATGTCCCATTGCCTTTGGTACTTCCAAAGGTGTTTGCAACCAAGCTCAAGGTTACTTCAGAYACAACTCTCAGGGAGCTGGGGCTGTGTGAGAAGGGGAACATCAAACCCGGGATGGCACTTGCTGCTGTCCCAGCTATCTTCATTGACCAAGTTTTTGACATGGCTTTCTCATCCTYGTTCTGTTTAAGCTGCTTGTTTCTGTAATCATAGTAAAAATCTCAGTCTGCAAATCCTGGTTGATTTTTTTATTATGTAAATACAAATTCTATTTCTGCATCTTGCTASCAAGAAGCATCATGATCCCTGACATGTTTCAACAGTGTCTGAGGGATTTTAATTCTGTATAAACTGTTACAATACATGCTGTTCATTTGATTTTTACTTTAACTGTAGAGAACCATAGAATCATTACCCTCTAGAATACAAAAGTTAATGTTGCAATAATTAATATTCTTAGTTGGAATGGAATTGGGAGTTTAAGTCTAGATAAGCCTGGGATTACAGCAAGAGAATAGATGTTTTAAATGCCTAATTCCTGCTGAGTTTTCTGAACTCATGGTTTGATCTCCCTTCCCTAGAACYAGTTTTACACCCAGCAGTAATCCTGTTATGGATGATCACTGCTGTAAAATAAACCACATCCATAGCATTGAGTGTTGAACTGATACTTAAAATATTTAATCCAGGCATAGGATTTGAACATGTATTGTAGCAATTGTGTGCCAAAGTCCTCAACAAGCACTCCAGGTGGATGTGATGGGGTCACATTCTAATCTTGCTCTGTTTCACTGCAGGCTGGTTACTTCAGATGTGGCTTTTTACACTGGAAACCTTCAAGCTCTGAAAGGCCTTAACAATTTAGACCTAAACATGGCTGAAATCTGGGAGCAGAAGAGGTGATAATCCATTGGGAGCAGTCGCTTGGCTCTGACAACAGACTGACTTCCTTCTGAGCAGCGTGACGACGGTGAGGTGAATACTTGAGCCCAGAGCCCCAGAAAGGGCAGGATTGAGAGTCGGGAGAGCTTAGACTCAGAGGGAGCTGCAGGGAGAGATCCTTCCAGTGYCCTTCAGCAAGAAACGAGTGATCAGCTGTCTGTGCAATGTTTTTTCATTCTCTCTGGAAACAGACTCAGGTTTCTTTGGACCAAATCCAAAAGAACACATAGCTGTAACACAGCTGTAGTTGTCTAGAATGCTCTGTATATCTTTATATTAAAAAGATGCTTTGCATTTCTTCTAGTGCAATGAAATTCACATGGTGTCCCACCTTATTTAATGATGGTACAATATAAAAATCTTGCAGTTGGAACTCTGTAGAAAATGTTTTTCTCTATGAAAACTATGCTGTTCTAAAATTTATTTTTTTACAGAACTTTATATAAATAAATGTCTTTTGATTGCTCGCATATAGGATTGAGCTTTGTTAGGGAGCTGTCCTGTTCCAGGGGATTTCTCACAACCTAAAATCTGAAGGCAGGATTTGCTAAGGGCCAGTTCCCCAAMGCCATTCCCTGTGGGACAGAGTGACCTGATCCTCATTTGCAGTGACAGGGTAACAGTGGGGCTCCTGGGGGAACTGGAAGGTGGGAGAGAGGCTGGTGTAGAGATGGCCACCCCCAGCCAGTGGGGAAGGACAGGGACACAAAGAACAGGGCAGGAAGAATTTTAACATTTTWGGCTGCTGATAAAAGGTTACACCATTAAGGAGAGTGCAGCTGAAATCAATGTATTTCAGAGTTTTTACTGCTACCTTTTCCAGCCTGGGGGCTGCCAGTACTCAGTACAAGTGCCTGCGTTTCTCACCTCACCCCTCTGTACCTGACCCCAGTCGAGTGCCTAACCCTGAGATGATCATGTCTGATGGAATGGTCTCTGCTGCAGTGTGTGTGTGCCTGTGGTGCCCTGAGCCAGGCATGCTGACCTGGTAGCATAACACGTGTCATTAATTGTCAGTCAAAATAAAGCTCTAAAATCACAGTTGTTTTTAAAGACCAACTTCTTTAATGATACATACCAGTGTTATACTAAGCTTATAAAATAAAGTTGTCTGCATGTAAATACAAGAGAAACATTAAGAAATCAATAGTGATCGGGACAGGGATTTCGATTCCTGTACAAATTTAGAAACTCAAGAGAAGATAAATTAACATACATGGCTGTGACAATATGAACATAGGTGTAGTCAACGTGATCCATTTATTGAAAAAAGAGGGCAGATCAAGGATAAAGATATTAACAGGAGATCCAGTCTTAAATGGGATGTGAAAAAGCAAACACCACACGTGGCTACTGAGGCATTTTTCTCAAGTATTGGATTCTTTGGGCAAGTTTGGAACACGGATGATTCCCACTCTCACGATACGGAAATGGAGGTATTGACAGCCTTACCCCAGTACCTCGACATACAACTGGGATAGGACATCCCACTTGTAGTTTGGGGGGGGTTGAAGAGGGCTACAGCTTGTGAGCACATGAAATACAGGGTTTTAAGAGCCTGTTTAGCAGTAGTGAAACTTTTGGTTTTCAACTGTGCCTTCCTAAAACGTCACAGGAGTTGCCAACCATGTTGTCCCACATGTATTGCTTCACAGCTTTATTTCTGCAGTTACAAGCAATTCAAAACTACTGAATGGTCGAGGCGAGCCTCTKAACTTCTTATCAAAGAAGATCTGTCCATCTTCCCGCGAGACAAACAGTATTGCACTTCAAGGTTATATTAACTGAGTTACAGAATCTCTTTAAGGACTGAAGCATTACTTACGCACATCCATGGCGCTATGTGGCTGCTTAGAGATAAGCAAGAGAAATTAATTTTAAATTAATACTGCAGGGTACTGTGAAGATGACAAAGCATAGGCCCTCTGTGTACTTAGATTTCTAATGCTTAAAAGGTTCTTCCAAGACCAGGCTGGTTTGGCACGGCAGCCCCAGCCCTGACCGTGCCCTCTCCTGGACTCAGTGGTCCAGGATCCGCAGGTTGCCGGATACAATTTTGTTCTCTAGTAAAGCTCCAGCTGGGATGTCAATTCTGTCACCGTGGTTTGCAATGATGATGACTGTTCCCTGGGTTGACAGAAAAGAAAACAATTGTTCAGAAACCTGTTGAGGTGGAAGGAGGGAATAAGGTGTCTGGAGGGAGCAGTCTKGTGTCAGCTGCACCACAGCCAGAGCCTGAATGCATTGAGTTGTATTGTTTCTGCACAGACATTTGGGGTTTCTCCTCCCCCAGAACAAAGGYTTTAAACAAGCATTACTGGAACCTCTGTAATTACCACACTAGATTCTATCAGCCTACAAGCAGAACTGGTAACTTCTCTGAAGATGTGATTGCTCTAAGGGCTCTTGTCACGTCTGCTTGCTTTGAGGTGGAAAAACATTACCCCCATCCCTGGGTGTGTTCCAGGAAGGCCCCTGTTCCAGCTGAACAGCAAATGTGGGCAGAGGGACAGCTCAGAGCCCACAGCCTGTGCCAGGTGATGCAGCCCCACCTTCCACCCCTGTCACCTGCTGAACTGCCCAGAGAACTGCAGTGCTGCCAGGACTGGAAAGATCCCAGGGAAGAATTTGAGAGAGAAACTGACTTCTCAGCTCCACCATTCACTAATAAATCAAGAACCCCAAAGTGATGAGAAAGAGCCTGAAAACGGGGGTAAGGCCAGCCTGGAGGGGTGGAGGGAACATGCCCAGCTGAGCCAAAGGACAGAGGTGGCAGCAATGTTAAAAACAGAGATGTGAGGATTGTGGCACTTTCAAGGKTCATAAATCAACCTCCTCTCTGCCTGGGCACTCCATCACAAGGGTCACTGTCCAGCCATGGCCTCTGCCACCTTCGGGCCATTCCCCAATTCCCAAAAGTGCTCCTGTGGACTGGGTACAGGCACTGCCTCAGCATCAACTGCAGGGAGCACAGATCAGCACGTTTATTGCAACAGCATCCCCACTGCACACTCACCTTTAATGAAACATTCTTCCCGAATGTAACATCACCTGAAACCGTGAGATGATCCAGCTCCAGCATATCTGGAATACTTTCAAACCTCCGCAGGTAATCTTGAACCTTTTGGAAAGAGGAAACAATAGACACCGTTTTAAAGCCATCTGTGGATTAAGACAAGCGTGGGAGCCTGTTGAATCCTCTTCGGGAACTTTCCTAGAACCTCCATCTCATACAATATAAAAGTTGCTACTTTGTTATTTCTTTGGGAGGTAAGTGTGAGGAACAGTGGGGGGTTTTCCACACGGGGCAGCTCTGCTTTGGGGTACAGGAGCACCCAACATTCACAGCAAATATTGATATTCTCAAAGCTTTTAAAATAGCAAGAGAGATAATTTAAATGTCATTTTTCATTTGTTGCTATGAGCTGTATCTGTCCCAAGAGGCAAACACCAGGTGCAGTGACAGAATTTACCTTTGTGAAGGAGCTTCCCAGTTTGACAAGAGGCACTGTTGGGAATTCGCGCTTCTCGCTCATCGTCAGAGACCCCGCGTTAAGGCTGTACAAATTGGACATCACGAGCAAGAGATCTGAGGTGGTCTTCACAGGCAGGAAACGACTACGAGGTACGTTTATCCCCAGAGAGTTCTCAAAACTCTTGATAGCAGCACCAACTGCAGTCTCCAGCTGGATAACGTTCAAGCCTCCATCCAGAGTCTGCAAGAGAAAAGCCACRTGAACACATGGAGGAGATCCTGGTGCTCAGATCTGGAGTCAGAACTCTGCCCTCCCCCTGAGCCTGGCTCACCCACCCAGAACCTGTTTGTTTGGGTCAGTGTCCTCTAAACCCATGCCAGCTGATTACCTTTGGGTTAACAATGATCTCCATGTCAATGGCGTTCTTCTCCTGCAGCCTTTTGATTGCAGACAGAGCAATCCACAAATTGTTGGTATTGAATATTTTGAATTTTGACACAGACTTGAATTCATCCACGTGTGCTTTTGGGACCTGAGCTATCTCCACCAGCCTCAGCTTATTCTCGTACTGCGTCAGCGTGCCACCCTGCAAGGGGCAAATGAGAGGTTTAAAGTTCTGTTCATGAGAAGCCAGAGAAATCCTCCCCTCAGYCCAGACAGATGCACTGGGCTGTTGGCATTTAAAGCTGAACCCCAGAGAAAACACATTTCTTGTTTTTGGTAACCAGCTACCAGGTTACTAATTATAGRGCATGTTTAAAGTACAGTCAGGACCATCCAACGATCATATTTCAGCACTCCAAGACAGTTAATTCCTTTCATGAAGGTTGCTCAGAATATTTTGAAGTGCTGTTGTTGTTAAAAATCACCCTCAACAGTACTTTGTTAGATGATGGAGCAAAAGCTAAGTTAAATCTAAGTATTCTTACTTAGATTTAGAGCATTTCTGTGCTTTTATGGGGCTAAGTCAGAGCTTCCCTAACAGAGTAAATCCAAATCCACATTCTCACATAGGAAAGAACAGAGACAGAGCACAGTTGCAGGACAAATTACTGCAGGCTACAAGTATTTGACACRTGTCATAAACCTCTGAGAAATGTCACTCCCGGATTTTGTACAAAGCCAGGGGTCAGGGCAGGAGCAGATGAGCAGCTGTGCCATGCAGGCTTGTGCAATGCAGCAYTGGGAAGTGGCTCAGGCAGTTTTCTGTGAGACACAGCTGCTGCATCCCAGCCCTCAGAGCTCTGTTTTCAAGCTTTGAGCTTCTCCCCCTGTGTAGGTGACAGTTTGGARAAGGTGCAGAGGTGGCATCCTGCACAAATCACTCATTCCAGCCCAGCCCCTGCCTGCTGCTGCCCAGAGCACGGATCAAATCTGCTCCATCAGTTAGAACTTCCTAAACTTGCTGATTTTGTGCATCTCAAATTAGATCCGAGCTGATGTGTTAAATGGTGCCCAAAATAGCTCTGAGAAGATTGAATCCATGGATTCAGAGGAGGTTGGAGATTGCCACCACCACACTCAGATTCACACCCATCTCCCTTTACCTTCACATCCGCCCGGGTTTTGTTTGTGACTTCCATGACAAATTCGCAGCGTTTTCCATTGGGTGGGTTCATAAGGTGGTTAAGAATGTAAAGGTCCACAGTGGCACCCAAATTATCTATATTGGACACAAAAATATATTCCTTCCCCTCTGCAATGAGGTTGTCCAGCAGCCCAGAGTTGTAGAAGCTGGCGTAGATGTCTCCGTGGCCCGGAGGGTACCAGCACTCTGTGTTCTCTCCTGAGTAAGAGACATCCTTGGCTATGGGCAGCAGAGTTTCCTTGTTAATTCTGGGATACCTGCAAAGGCAGTGGGTCTTGTTAAACTCTCWCTGGTGTCAGAGTAGAATAAAGAAAAAAAAAACAGCAGTAAAGGTGCAACTCCCTGAGCTTTTGGAGGTGAATCTTCAGGTTACTCTGGTGGGAAGACCCATCCAGATTCTGAGCTGTCACTGAGAAGCTACAAAAGCAACCTGTCTACTCAAGGATTTAAAACCATAGAGCTGCAAACCAGCTTTGCTCTGGCAGGCAGGTCCAGAGCATATCAAACACACCTCTGACCCAGCAGCCACCTGGATTAGAGTTTATTCTTCATAAAGGGCCATGGTCTGTCTCCCTGCAGAGCCCAGAAATGTTAAAAGTGAGCTCAGGAATCAAGTGGTTGGCATCCAGCACACCTCTGTCTGTACATTCCTGAGAAACTGGGGCTCACACACCCTCCTCTCCCCAATTTTAATGYATTTTCCTTGACTCTGCCAAACACCCCAATGTTTCAGGCTCTCCACGAGACCCAAAAGAGACTGAACACAGGTACAGATGACACCACTGCTACCCCAACACCTCAAACTGAAACCCACCCCATCTGGAATATGGAGAAACAAGCTAGCTTTATCTTATACCCCGARTGGAGAAGTTTTTTGGTACCTGCTTTGATTAAAAGTATATATCTTCACTCGGCTGTGACTGTATTTCTGCAGGATTTTCTTTGTGTCGTCATCCGTGTTGAAGGAATTCATGAGAACCAGAGGAACATCRGTGTTGTAGGATTTGTTTAAATGCTGAGATGGGAAATAAATGATAAATTCAAAATGTATTATTAGCTTTAACTCCTGACACTTGAGATTTTTGGGAGAAAGAAATTAGGTAAAACATTCATTAGGAAATAATAAATGCATGAGAGAAAAAAAGATGCACTTATGCTGACAGAAAGGATAATAAATCATGTAAAGGAAAATAAACCCTTGTTGGCTGCAAAGTTAAGACCCACATTAATTAATGTGTCTTCAATTAATGAATCTTTGTTTTCAAATATGCATTCAGATCTAATGTCTGAAAACCACAACACCACAAAATTATCATTTTAAGTTTTAGCTGCTGTTGATTACAAAAAGGCCTTGTTTTCCATTAAATTGTTGCAGTGTGTCAAGGTGACACTTCCCCACTGTCTCTGCACAGGAGGCACTTCTAAGCCTTCTTGGCAGGCTGAGAGATGGACAATTGTGTCAAGAACACATAATAAATTAAATGTCACCATGCTAATTATTTAGGAATCTATAGAATGGAGCTGAAATACACAAGAGCATCCCATGTGCACAATAAAGGCAAAAAACCTGGAAATCATTAGCAGTGTCCTACCAAAAATAGAATGTGCAGGGGGAAAAAAAAGACACTTGAGTGAGTTTTAAGGTTTGTGTATCAGCTCACTCTCATCTGCCACAGTGTTTGGGATCATTACATTTTGGTGGAGTCAGAAACTTCCACAATGAAACTTCCCTTGGGAGAAAAATTGACATCCAACTGGTGCAGCCCTAAGTCTGCTACAGGACCATCTAACACACATGGGAGTCACTCCAAACAAAATCACACTGAGGCARAAATGGCTGGCACTCCAGAAAGCACAGAGCAGGCACACCCCATTTCCTACCCTAATAACTGTCTTCATTATCTGCTCTAAGAGGAATATTCAGCATTAAAAACATAAGCCAAAATGTCCTCTCCCAACAGCAGCAGCTGTTATTTTCTTTTACTCTTCCTTCTTCAGAGGAAAATGCCAGCAATCTCTTCCAGCACAAGAGTTTAAATTCATCAAGGAACTCGGAGCTGCTGTGAAAAGCTTTGTTCTGATGCATGTAAAAAAAATAAAAAAAAAAACAAACCCTTTTTTTGAAAAGAGAAACTTGCAGCTGGAGGAGTCGGAAACAAGCCCAGGAGTTAGGCAGGCCAGACAAGCTGTGCAGTGTGACTGCTCGTGTTCCTGGACACAATCCCCCTGCCCAGGCTGCATCACACGTGGGGGAAGCAGAGTTCAATCCCTGACTGCTCCATGTCTGCTCCTCCCAAAGGAATTCTCTCTRTGTGTGAGCACAGCTTGTGTCCCTCTGCTCTTCCCTCTTCASCAGTCGTGCAGGAGCAGCTCAGAGTGTCAGGAAAGTTCATAAAGGTTACCTCAATCTGCTGAACTGTCAGGTCCAGGAAGGTGTTCTCGTTCCGCACCCCGATCAGGCTCTTGGGGCCTTTGCAGCCCATGCTTGTCCCCARGCCACCATTGAGCTTCACAACCACCAGCTTGTTCAGGACAGAAGCAATGTTATCAGGCAGGCCTCTGGCCTTGATCTTCTCATAGGGCTGGATCTGGGAAAACAAACCAAACAAACAAACAACAACAAAAAAAAACCAGCAGTCAGATATTTGAAAAGAAATGGTTTTCTCCTAAAAACCTTCAAAACTTAGAACTCACATTTATTCATATGCTTCATGACACTAAAGAACATCTGCAAAATGAGTCTACAATAATTGATTTGTTACGACACAAATAACCTGATTTGTTGCTACAATAACCTCTTTTCTCGAGGGGTTTTTGGACTTTGTGACACCAGTCACCATCAGCTTCATTCAGATGAGAAGATGCCTCTGTCTGCTCTCCCAGGTTCAGAGAGCTGGCTCAGGGCAAGGATGGGTGAGGAAGCAGCCAGGCCAGTTGTGCCACTTCCACAGCCCTGCAGAAGGGGAAGGGGTTTCCTTGGGAAATATCCAACTCACGGCCCCAGAAGATGGCCCCTCTCCCCCTTCAGTCAGGCCATAAGTTATGAACCAGGTTTTAAATGCAAGGCATTTGACTTCCCTTCCCTGAGTGGCTTAATTCACAGATTTTTTTCCTTTTTTTTTTTTTCCTGAGGTTGTCAAAGGCAACATTCTTGGCAAAAGGCTGGTTCTTTAACTCAGTCTGAACCCATTCTTATTCCAGCCTGATACAATTCATTTCTCCTGACAACATGATACAGTGGAAGAAAGCTCCCAGTTCTTATTCTGGTGTTTTCAGGATGTGTTYATCCAGCTCACAATAAACCTCACAGAAAGTCTTCTGCCTCACTGACAGCTATTTCACAACAGAGTCTGGGCTGCATTTGGGGCCACTGATGGACAGCAAAATCAAACTTGTAATGCCAGCGTGCCTCACTTTAGGCACTGCTGTCCCCTAATTCAGAGCACCTAAGTCAAAGAAATAATGGTAGCAATGCCACAGGAAGAACCATGCCAAAACTGTTAGAGCAGAATCAATACAATTATCCTTTAGCTGGCCCTTCTAGAGATGTTCTTTTGAAGAAAAACCCTGGTGTTTCAGTGCTGTAGTATTCTAAAAAAGTAAAAAAAAAAAAAATTAATTCTGATAAGGGGTGTGCAAGATCCACAGCTGGTTTCCAAAAACAAATACACACAGAGCAGTTTTCAGAACTGTGTTTGCTTTGGGCAAGGGCTGGGGTTCAATGGAAATGCACATTGCACTGGAGCAAGAATCGGATTTCTTCCTGGGATGTGCGGGGGTAGAGAGGGAGCTTGTGCAATCCCAGCATTCCTGGATTAGGGCAGATCCCTCCCATTAGGGAAATTCTGCCCTGTGGGATCTGCAAAGCTTATAGGATGTATTTAAAGATAAGATGGCTCCACTTGGAGGTCCCATGGCTTGGACAGAAAGCAGTACCACCATCATTGCCATTCACCCAGGGCACAGGCAGGARCTTCCTCACAAACTTCCAAGAACTTCTCAGGAACAGAGGAGCACAAAAAGCAGAATCTTGCTTTGCTTTGTCAACAACAGGGATTGTGCTCAGGCTCAAACAGCCTGGAAAAGAACTGCCCTTCCCATTAATGAGATGATAAATCCTGGGTTTACTGTGTTGGAGGTACATCAGGAAGCTCAGTGAACRTTTTGCTACCAGCAGGACCCACAGAGATTTACACTCAGATTTATGTTCCACATCCACCCCAAGGTCAGTGACAYCCCACATCACCCTGCCAATGGATTGAAAATATTTTGCCTTGAGCCTCAGCTGGGTGGGATGTGAGTCACATCCATGATGTYCCGACGCTGTCTGAACATCCAAAAAAATTATCTCAACTTTCAAGTCTCACTATGTTCTTCTTGCATCACTCACAAAAAGCAGAAAGTCTGACACTCACTTCAGGGCCAGACTGCCTCAAAAATCATTTGATTTGCWAAAGTGCCAACTACCTTTTGATGCTCTCACTATCATGCCTGACACCAGCTTATTCAGAAAGCTCAAAGTCCTCAAGAAGGTAACAGCTCCTTCAAGGACTCAGTTCACTGGAAGCTGCATCAGTTACACAAAATTTATGACTCAGCCTCACTAAACATTTCAGTTTCTTCTGGCACAGACATTGGAAACGTCAACTTGGCAATGAAGCCCTGGATCTTGAAGGGTCTTTAATTCAGAGAATAACACATGTCAAGAAGTCAAGTCCCAGCAGGAATGCTGCAGCACCAGGACTGCTGTGCTATCAATCCAACAGCTCCAGCCTTGTGCAGGCACCGATATGCAGAACCACCTCATCAGCTACAAGCTTACACACAACTTACAAAGGCTCCACAGCAATAAAAATCAATTCTTGCTCTATTTGGAACAGTGATGGGGGAATTCTCCAGGAAAAAGCAGGGGCAGGAGTGACATGTCTTACAGATGATGGCTCAGTGTGACTCGAGACACGTCTGGCAGCCGAGGTTTGGGACCGTTCTAGGATGACACACGCAGCTTCTTTTGTTTTGCAGCCAATGTCTCAGAAATGATTTCTCAGAACAGGCTGGATGAGGCAACATGGGGAGTTTGACTAACAGATTCCAGAAGCCTACTCCTACTGCAGGGAGGGTTTGTCACAGACAAAAAATGAGCATCGGGGCTGTCACYGTGGGCAGACCGGAAAGGAGGACACCCCTGTTAGTTCATGTGTACTCACAGTTCCAGGGAAGATTTACTCAGCACCAAATGAAGGGGTCTCTGCCCTTGTGAGAGCCCACCTGGAGGAGACTTTGGGGAGACCTTACAGCAGCCTTGCAGCACCCAGAGGGGACTTTCAGAGGAAGAGAGACTTCTTAAACAGGCTGAGAGAGGTAGGAACAGTTTCAAACTACAAGAGGAGAGATTTACATCAGATCTTAGAACCAAGTTCTTTACTTTGAGAGYTGTGAAGCAGAGGAACAGGAAGCTGTGGCTGACCTGGAGGTCAGCTGGTCAACASCAGCTTAGACAGGGCTTGGAGCAATCTAGTTGAAGGTGTCYCTGYCCATTGYAGATGATTTTTAAGGTCCCTTCCAAACCATTCCATGATTCTATGAACCCTTAAAACCTGTTCCCARAGTTGAAGATTAGGAAGATGTTTTGCTTTGGGCTAAGGGCATAACACTCATTATTTTCCTCCATGATTTAGTTCACTGAGATGACAACCTGAGCTGCAGACAAGAATCCAACCACTGGGGAAGGAAAAAAACAAAGGCTCTAACAGAGAAGCTCCTTTCACACTCACATTGCTTTGGATGCTCTCTTTACATCCCAGATGAGGTTTGGCATTGCTGTTCTGAGGTTAACTCGATCACTGCAGTTCTCTCAGAGGCCTCCCAGCAGGACTTTGCTATTGCTTCCAATTCAAACAAACAGATGGCTGCAATCTACATCGAGGGGATTAAGTTACACTTGCCATGTCCACATTCTTTACCTCCTCTCCCTGTTAACTGGCACTCTCAGTGTACTTTCTTCTCTGGAGACTGTAACAGTAATGGGTCCTAACTATGCCAGCTAGCACTGTAAGCCTTTGGACATATSAAAGCAAAGCATCTGGAAGGAAAAAACAAGTCAGAGGTTTACCAATATAGTGTGAAATGGGTTCAGTCTTCTCTTACTGCCATCAGTATAAYTTGTTACACTGAAAACATGGAGGTCGGGGATGAAATCTCCCATTGCAGAGGAAAACAGAGGAATACTACAAAGCAATAATTTCTGTTTCAATTCATTGACAGGAGCCTTTACTTCTCTTCAGGAAAAAGCAGAAGCTACATTCRGAGAACAAATACAACAGGTAACACACTATATAACGTACAGAAGTCTGATCAGAAATTCTGCTTCTGCATAGCACAGGCCCTTGGCAATGGGCAAAAGCCTGAAACATTTTCCCCACCTAAAAGACAAAGCCTATAAATCCACTAAGCTATTCATGAACTTTTTTAAGCTGCTAAATAAGTAAGAAAGCAACAAACCCACATTCTGGCATATTTTTAGGTGCCTCTGTTTACAGATGTATACACACACAGGCACACAGATACCTCAATGTGTGCTTTTTGCTCTACTAGGGATCAGCTGAAGTTTATACCTGCCAGAATTCCCAGCAGCAGAGCAATTCTCCAAAACAATCACAGGCAAATAAATTCACAGTGCAGAGAGTTTGGTGCTTTCCAGGCCATGCTCTTTGCAGTGTGAGATTCTCCAAGCAGCCAAGCATCCCACCACCTCATAAAACAAGGTCATCCCTACAGGCAATTATAAATCACTTGCAAGATTACCAGCAAACAAGTCTTCCATGCACACCAACCTCTGTGCTGTTCTAACAAGAGCAGGAGGAGAATATGCTGTGAGGTTGCACAGCTAGGGAAAGGAAACTCAAATGGAACTGAACAGAAGCACTCAAAATACAAATATGTCCACAGATGGACACCTGTCCCAAAGAACTCAGCCCTTCAAAAGTTGAGCCACTTCACCCCTTCTAAAAGCTCATGCTCTTCTTACTTATACTCGCTAGACCAGTAATTCTAAAATTCTGGTCTTTAGGGAACCAGTTTTTACCTAATAATTCCACAAGTCATATCCCTCAGCAAAGAATAATCTGGGAGAAGGTCCCTTGAAATGTGTCTTAGGTGAAACCCTTTTCATTTTTTCCACAGTATGTCCCCAACATGACTGATGTATTAAAAAGGAGGGGGTGAATCAGCAGGGTAGGGAAATGGAACTCTTATGGTCAGCAAAAAAAAGGGGAAAAGAATAAAATAATCAAGAAATTTAACTTTGCTCTCAGTTTTTATTAAGYACCCAAACCCACCTCCTGTCAGATCAAGAAGCCCAAGCATGACCCTAAAGAAAGGGATATTCACTGTGGAGTGAAGAAGGCATTGAAGGAAGTTTGTTTGCAGATCTTTTGCCCTAGCTCTCTTACGTGGCATTCCTCATGCATGATTACTTGATTTAGAGTTCATGCTAGGTAGCAAAATTTAATTTCAGATCATGCATGCACCTCACCAGACCAGAAGTGACCTGATTTTGCAGAATTCTTACCTTTCTCTCTCTCATCAAAAGTTGCTACAAAGCACAGGGACACACTGGAGAATGAGCAGTACAGGCAACAAAGAAAAGGAAAAATATTCCTTCTAATCCTGCCCTTCTCCATTCAGCCTTAAGTCAGACCTTCCTCTTGGCTCTTTTTTTAGCAGCTTGCCCTGCCTGGGAATATCCCACCCCTGGGAATACACCCCCAGTCTATTCCAGAGCTTTGCCATAARCTCCAGTTTGACATCTGCTCCAGATGTCCTACCCGGTTACTTTCAGGCCCTCACAGAACTTGGAAAGTTTTTCCACTGAAGGTGTGCAAAACTTGAAAAATAGACAACTGCTCTTCCTCTCCACAAAGCAGCCATTCACTGGCATCAAATTTCAGTAATTTAATCCCAGGCCTTCTCTTGGCACACGGAACAGTTTATTCCTTTGATTGTCCTAACTACCTTCTCACATATTTAAAAGACCTATCRCTCCCCCCAGAGTCTCAGCCTCTCTACACTGAAAAAAAAAAAAAATCCCCTTTTCTCAGCCTTCCTTGAAAGTCATCTTATCTAGAACTCCAATTTCTCACCCCGGGCCTCTTCATTGAGGGCAGACTTCCCTCCCCAAAGCAACACTCCATTCAGTGTTACAGGACAGAAAAGAGAGACATCACATGTTTTTGAAGTTAAAAGAAAAACACTCAACCTTGGAAAAACCCTAGACTTGCTCTAAAACAGCATCATTCTTCAACTGCTTTATAGAGCAGCCCTGCATCTGTTCTGGAAGTAACTGGACAGCCTGCCTTTCATAGGAAACAGAGCCTCGATTGAGGCACACAGAGAGCCTCAGAAAAACCACAGGCCTGGGAGCACACAGAGCTCCTGCAATATGCCAAGATCACTGTGCTGGGAAAAGCAAGAATTTGTAGCACAACTGCACCGTTAGTTACACAAGAGTCAAAGGACAGCCTAAGGCCACTGATGAATCAATAAAATGAGGTTAGGTTTAATAGGAAGTGTTTCTTTCAGTACTAAATAGCACTGAAAAAATATATAGTGCTTTTCCAGCAGCAGCTCAAATTACTGGTTATGAGTTACAACAACACAGACAACATTAGAAAATCAGGCTCCAAAACCMACCACAGTCAACTCCTTGTTTCAGATGCCTCGCTTTTGCCGAGCTGCTGCAGGTTACAGAAGTTGCTAAATGAGCTCTATTACCCAGCCCACTTGCCATATGTCCCTTTCAAATTATTAAACAGAAAGGATCGCTGGAAACTGTCTCGTCTGAGCCATGAAACCTTCTACGGGCAGGAGGGAAACAACAAGGCTCCTCCCTACTTCCCCTCTAACCCAGGTTTACTCCAGAGAAGGTAATAAATGGTGAGGTGGCATCTGTCCCATTTTGTTGYCCTGCTCWRAGAAGAGCWAACAAAATAACCCYAAAGAACTTGACACATATGGCARGCAGAACCTGATGTTCAGGAACACACACAACATATGCCAACAAATAATTATTTTTCAGCTAGAACCCGAAGTGTTGTCCTACATGGTTTTACAGAAGCRTGGCAGACAGATCCATTCCATGGGTGAATACATCATTTGCCTTAAGTAACAATTATCCATTTTAGAATTATCAGTTCCTTACAAACTGTCACTTTGTCACAACTTACAGAATCTTCTGGAGGTCTCTGAATCTTCCCCCAGTCCACAGATGGTCCCTTTTCTTGTAGGAATCTATGAAATAGCTTCTTGAATCCTTCCAGGTCCTTTTTAGTGTGCTACAAAGAAGAAATGCACTAGTTAATGCTGGTAATTAATGCACACCTACTCAATCACAGAAGCATTTCTACAAACTGMTGTACAATCTATTCATGAGAGTAACTTCATTAACACTGAAGTAGACGTGCTAAACTTCAGTCAAATTTAGACTTCAAGTCAAATTCCAGAAGTTACCAAAAGCTCATTTTCAYTAAAACTTAAGAGTACAAAACCAACTTGGATACCTACACAACAAGTCTTTAGTAAAAATCATAACCATTGCAGTCTGGCCCAATATTTAAGATTAACAGCTTCACCCTTCTGTTCTGTAATCCATTGAAGATTACACAGAACCTTTAATAACTAAAGATGATTAAACACTTAATAACTCTGTCACCCAGTCYAGAGCGAACTGAAAGTCTCCTACTGACATTGTATCCAGGCTATTCTTCCATACAGGATCAGAGCACATTTGGACATAAAATAAGGGCATAAATAAAAACCTGGAAATCTGTGATTTATCTCCTTGTCTAAGATTTGCCTCAGTGTCCTGCATCCCATTTCTCAAGCTCTGAGTTGCACCCACCCCGTGCTCCTTACCTCTATCTCATTTGAATGTGCAGTTGCGAGTATCTTATCAAGTTCTACTTTCATTGAATACTCCAGCTCTTGCCGAATGACTTCCTGAAACTGTGAGGAGCCAGCTTGAGACATTGCTTTGCTGAAATCTTGAACAGAAATTTAAAAAGGGATTASAAGAAGAAGAAAAAAARAACCTAACTTATTTAGACTACAAATAGCCTTCAATTTTCTTTAAAAATTTCTGATAAACTCCTAAATCTAGTCTTGTTTTATCACTCTGCTAGCATGCAAAGAATCTAAAGTTTTTGTTCCTAGTTACTTGGGGAACAGGGCTTAAACTTGGCCCAAAGAATAACAACCTTTTTTTCAAAACCCAAAAGAACCCCAAAGGACCAATGGTTCATCTCAAGAAGTATCCAAAAATCTGCAGCAGTGCATTTTTTTTTTGCTAGGGAAGTCATATCCTACTGCATCGACACACTTTAGCAACTARAAGTGTGAAAAAGCATTTTCTCGGTGAAAAGTTATGTAGAACACTGTGATTGAAGGTATCCTTCTGTTCCACAAGCAAATAAAAACATATGCTTTAATTATTTATACAGTGCACTTTCACAGGATCTTCTGTTTGTTCCAGTAAATATTCCCTTACTTCATCGTGTGTATTTTCGCGCTACAGCGTGCATGTCAGTCACTAAGCAACCTAGAAAATTGGGCTGTCTATCACTTCAGCATTTGTTTTGTTTTGGAAAGTGATAAACTCCACGAACGTGAAAGAGAGTAAAYACACAAATGTTCTGTAAAGTCCACCCTGCAGAAAGGACCGGGAGAGAACTTGACTYTATTTTCCAACAGAGAGCACTGGAAGCGAGTGTATTCTCAAAAGACATTCTGAGTATGTTCTCTAAAGGCCTCAGTTAATTTAATTTCTGCCAAATCCCTTGAGTGATCATTTCCCTGTAACACAGAGAGTGATGAATTGCCAAATATAGCTGGATTTTAGAAACACCCTGAATAGTAGCGCAAAAAAGGGACAGGAGGGAACTTTACAAGTGAACAGAGCGACACTGACAGAAAACATTGTTAGAAGAGGAACCTGCATTTAAAGTCTACTTATTGACAACATGCATTAAAAGGCTCTTCTATTGAGAAAGTCTAAGAAAGCCAAAGATGGTTCATTTTAATACAATTTTGATTTTATTTTCTTTTTCTAAGCAAAGTATTCCACAGCCTCAGCCTCAGTGACAGTATCTAATCCTTGCTTTGAAGCCCACAGAAGCCATTTTCCTGACTGCACTGTTTTGCAGGTAGGGGAGGGAGAGAAAAAAAAAAAAAAAAAAAAAAGAAAGAAAGGAGTGTAGGTATCGAAAGAAAAAATAAAAAAAAAAAAAAAAAAAAAAAAAAAAAAAAAAAAAAAGACAGACAAGTGCTGCAGTGCACATAGCATGTGTGGTGCAACACGGGAAAACGCCAGCTCAAGATGAACAGTACACTGAACAATAGGTCCTTTTTTTAATCAAATGCTTCRTTTAGTAGTAAAAGCAGGTAAGAGTTGAAAGCCTGTTAGGCGTATCTTTCCGGGTCAAATATGTGAAAACACCGATGGCTCTCCACCAGGAAGCACTTTTTCCTACAGAAAAACAAGGAGGTCTGTACCAACCTCATGCCTAATATTGAACTGCTCCAAGCACTGCTGTCATGCCCGCCCTTTGGGGTGATGCATATGGGAACAACTGCCAGGAGACGCCTTCACATGTTTCTAATCCCCCCTGCAACATGTTATAATCCAGCATTTCTGCCACAGCAACAACAGTGGCCATTTCTCAGCAGCAACCGGCCTGCAGGACATCTGAACCTCCCAGCGTGATGTAACACATCTCCTGAGGAGCTCTGCAAAGCCCGAGTGTCAGCAGAGACCTTCAGAACACACTGGGGCTGAGAGAGGCAGAGCCAGCTCCCCTGGCTGCCATCTAAGTGGAAAAAGCTTGCTCTGCTCATGTTAGCCAAAAGAATTGTATCTGCCAGGTAAAAGCACCGAGGGACTAAGGAACACCACAAACAAATCCAGATAACAAGCCATCATGAAAGTAAATGCATGACAAAACCCAGTTTAGGGATCTTTTCTTTCCTGTGATTTCTCCACAAACCGAATGAGCAAACACTAAACACGTTTGAACACCAAGCTCTGTTTGATCACCAACCTTTGATTTTATTTTCTCTCTGCAGGAAAGCAAAGCAGACCTGTTGCTTTTCCCAACACCAGGCATCAGGCACGCAGAGCAGCAGCTGGATGGGACAGCTCACACCAAAACCCAGCCTGCCAAAGCTGCCAGCAGTGCACCCTTCATCGGTAACGGGGCATTTTTAAGCTTTATATTTAACATTTAACAACTGCTGCAAACCCCTGGCCTCATCCAGCTCAGTGTGTCAGGACCTGGTTGCTTGGGGAAGGCGTTGTTATCATTTTGGGGGTGGAGAGAGGAAGAACACGGCTGGAGTCCATAAAATCACGWGCTTGCCTGGTGCAAGAAAAGTATCAATTCTGCAGAGGTAAGGATGTGAATACTGTAACCAGGAGCTGAGAGAAACAGCAAGGAAAAGCTTTTCTGCTCTGAACATGCCACTGCRAGGCAGAGGCTCTGAGAATTTCTCTTGAGAGATGACCACCAGGACTCRGGCTGAAAGCCCCCCAAAACACGACCAGGACAGCAGTATCGGTGCATAATTGAGCAAACTCTGCACTGGCTGTTCCTGCTGCCCCTGGGAGATTTTGGGGTACACCTGCACCCCAGCCTGTGGCTGGCACAACTGCAGTCCTTTGACACAAACCACAGCTGAATTCAAGACTGATTTCCCTTTTCACCCCGGCAGCAACAAGGAAGTGGAAAGGCCGGTGCAACTGCATGTCTGAAAGAGGTTCTTTCCTACAGGCAACTAAAATTTCCTAAGGCCATAATGAGAAGTAGTTACTGCGTCTCCAAAAATTGGATGGGAGGCARGGGTGCTGGATAACTGCAGGAAAAGATTTCCAAGGATACACGTGGCCATAAAATCCCAAATTATGTTTCAAAAGAAATGCCTCCTCCAWGATATTTCGCAACCAATGCCTCAGATTTCAGCCTAAGCCCACTTTTATGAAACCAATGTTCTTGAATGCTCATCAGACGTAAGAAAAGGGTGGGATAAGGTGGTGGAAGWCTCTTGGGGGACCTGCCCACACAGGAAATGAGCACAGACCAGAAGAGTGTGACTAAATAGCTGAGACTTCAGAGAACACGCGTGCAAAAATGACCACAGGGGATATCTTACTTTAATGTCTTTGGTAGAAAGTGCTCCCCCAAGCAGCAGAGACAGGACAACACTCCAGTCAAGTTCATGGTGGTGTTTGAGGCGTGGAGAATTTCACTCCAACCCTCCTGCCCCCACTGTTATTTCTAGCAGGCTTTTGTGCTCTGCTCTGACTGCTAACCTGGCCCCTGCCCTCACAGCATGAGCTACAGCACATGGAAGAGTATTGGCAGGTTTATGATGCCTAATTTTATAATTGACATATGAAAAAGCAAAACATGATATATCAGAGCAAGCTAACAGAAAGGAGAATTTTGTACACTGCCAGAAACAAAACAGGGGGCAGATGTCATCAGGAAAACTGCACAAGAACAGAAGWGTGGTGACCTGTCCTTCCTCTTACTCTACACCAAAAGCAGAGAAAACGTTCAGATTGATTAATTTTGTTCATTAATCCAATCAGAAGAGAACTTCATTGCCTTGGTATTCAGAGTACAAGGAGCCAGCACAGGAGGGAGTCGTGGGACGAGTCAATCCAGAAGTTCTCTCATGAACAAGTAGAGAATCTCTTGGGCTGAGGGTTATGAATCGTGATTRCTTTTGCAAACCAAGTAAGTAAACAGACAGAACTACAGCAGAAACACTCGGTCTCCCTGGAGCCAGACTAATGCATGAAAACCAAGAAGGGTGGCCAGTGAGTTACAACACAGAGCTAAACTTTAAATGCTCTACCCTTGAACCCTGYGCTCAGGGCACAGATTGAATGCCTTGACTTCCAACAATTCCGCTTAAAGTTCAAGGCAATTTTTATCTCTGGCAGGGACAAAAGTCTCTTTAAATACCCACACKACAAGGCGCAATGCTAACGAATACTACTTGGGTTTTCAGAACCGAACATACCCACTCAGCCTCTACAAACATTTTCCTACTACTAGRAGCAAAATTTGCCAACACAGGATGGGCTGAAGCATACGTGAAGTGAAACCTTTATGCTCTGACTCTTCCTGACGGATGAGCACATTAGCCCGAGCTAACTCAGAAATTTTCAGCTTAGGAAGCTGTTCTTGCCAGCTGCACACACAAGAGTTTAGGTGTTACAGTCAGTATTTCTCAGTGTAGCACATCCTCATGCTAAAAATATCACTTGACATGACAATATGTCTTAGTACTATTGGCCTGACAAAAAAAGTATTGAAACAGTGGATGCCTTTTTTTTTTTTTTTAAGGCTTCTCTGGTAATATTTTAAAAGCCAATTATGATCTTTACACGTGTTTCTACAGCTTTCAGTTTCAGAAATAACATCACTTCCCTGCAAGATGGCTACCTTCAGCAGTTGTCTGAAACAAGCCAATTCCATTTAAAAAAAACAATTAGCAATGTATTTTCCTAAAAAAAAAAACTTCACAAGGGCTTATCTTGAGAACTTTCAGAGTGGCTGTTTGAGCAATGTGCTGGAACACTTTCATCCTGCTGCTGCCTGCTTTCTGCCCAGGTGTCACAGGACATTTGTAGACAGGTGATGCCTTTACAGAGCATTGTCCAGTCCTGGATATCCACTCTGTGAGGGACAGTGATTTCCCAAAGCCTGCCAAGGCCCTCGCTTGCCTGCAACACCCAAGTTTGTACAGCAAACGACCTGCTCGTGTTCCCTCTGCAGGCAGCATTACATTTGTTGACAGGCCTGCGTGGATTTATATKAAGGAACCCTATAGGCACGTATTTCATTACAAAAAGCACACCCGCACCATGAGGATAATCGGAAAACAGGGAAAGAAAACTGCAACGGCAATGCACCAAAGTAATTTTTCCTCCCAAAATGACCTCTTGTGGGCTGGATCCCCGTTTCACCAGGAATACGAAACTCAGACCACGTACACACAAACGCTCATACATGAGGAGAGTAAAGGAGAGCGCCGGAGCCTAACGGGAAAACGCCAAAATACATTTAAGAATAAAAAAAAAATGAGGAGAGTAAAGGAGAGCGCCGGAGCCTAACGGGAAAACGCCAAAATACATTTAAGCATTAAAAAAAAATTAAAAAAAAATAAGAAGAGAAAAATGAAAGAGGAAAAAAGAAAAAAAAAAGCAAAAAAAAGCAGAGACATTCGAGCTCGGCATTTATCTTCCCGGAACTTTATCAGACGGCTCAGCGGAGAGGGGAAATTGGTCCCGCAGGATCCCCCAGCCCCTGGCCGTGCACAGCCCCGGGCGCAGCTCCACCGCCCGATCCCGCCCGTGGAGCGGAACCGAACCGAACCGAATTGAGCCGGGCAAGGCACAGCCGAACCGAACCGAGCCGGGCCGGGCCGGACACACCCGAACCGAACCGAACCGAGCGGGGCCGGCCCCGCCACCGGATGACGGCCGGAGCTCCGGGGAACCCGGGCACATCGCTGCCCCCCGAGCCGGCGGGAGCGCGGACCCAAAACACAGCGCAGCCCCGCGTACGCGCGGCGGAGGAGCCGAGAAAAACAAAGCGCGTCAGCTTACCTTGCACGAGAGCCGACATTTTCGCTGTTTAATAAATAAACACTTGGGTGAAAACAGAGAGTCCCCGCTCGGGGGGTTCCGCCCCGCGGCGGGCAGCGAAGGGCCGGAGCGCGGCTGCCACCCCTGCGGAGGCTGCGGCGGGAGAGGCGGCGACCCCGGCCTCGCTGGGAGCTCCCGCCCGCCCGCCGCGCTGCCCCTCCGCCGAGCAGTCCCTCCCGGGCCGGCGGGCGGGCGGCGAACCCCGAGCAATTTAAATTTCATCAATGGAAGAGGCGGACCCGCCGCGCCCCGGGTTTCGCCACCCCCGACCCTCCCCTCCCCTCCCCGCCGGGCCGGGCCGCCC